CTAAGCTAAAAAGGGGTGACTGTGAGAGGCCAGATTATTCAGTGGTCTATTCACATGGATGTTGCGGCCTCTGACTGATTCCTCCCACTTCCAGTTTTGGTCCTGGGCTCCATCCCACCTCTTTCCTGTCCCAAGGTCACCACAGTAAGCATTTCCTGAAACTCCAAATTATAGGAAATTAAATGACTTTGGACAAGAAGGCAATAATGGGGAAATAAGAGAGAGGGTTTGTTTTGTCTTTGCAAGCACTTCTACATACCTTTGGGAAATATTCACTACATTGTCCCTCTCTTGCCCTTGGGGAACTAGCCTTACATCACATCTACCTGCATTTCACCTTTCTCTTCTTCTTTGGAAACTCCAGTCTTTTTGATGCTATTCTTGCCAGCCTGTACACCACATAACTTTGACCTTCATAACATGAATATGAAGAAGAACCACCAGCATCTGTTCATTACCTTTGGCCACTATTGTTGCTTCTGTGAACTGAATGGGGTTTTTAAGAATACACTGTTATGTTAGGAAGACTTCTAAGAAAGTTGCAGTGATTCCCACAGCTTTGGCTATTTACATCCGCATGTGATTACTTTTTCCCTTGCGTGTAGGCTGGACTTAGTGATTTGTTTCTGAATCATAACATAAGGGAAAGGTGATAGGATGTCATTTCCATTACTAACTTACAAACTGTGGTAACTTCTGTTTAGTTAGCAGATTATCTCCTGACTTTGATGAAGCAAGCTGCTGTATTGGGGAGGCCTAGAGGACAAGGAATTACGGGGTGGCATCTAGCCATCAGCCAGCAAGGAATCCAAGACCTTAGTCTAAAATGCCTTAAGAAACTGAATCCTGACAACAAATATATGAATGAGCACACAAGTGGGTTCTTCCCCGGTCAAATCTTCACATGAAACTGCAGTCAGCCCCAGCTGACACCAAAATTGTGCTGCCTTGTGAGAGAACTTGAAGCAGAGAACTCAGGTAGGCCTTTCCTGGATCATTGACTCATCAAACCTGAGATAATAAATGTATAGTTTTTAAGACACTCAATATTGGGATACCAAATGTTTAGTAAATTTAAATTTAAAAACAGCTTCATGACTTAATAAAGAAACCTTATCTTTAGAGGTCATCCCTCTCCTTCCCTTCCCACCCCCAGGCCTAAGCAACCACTAATCCACTTTCTGTTTCCCTAGTTTCTCCTGTTACTAACATGTGAACAAAACAAATGGAGCTTAAGTCCCTGTTTACTTAGTCTGTTCTCTCTCCAAAGCTACTCAAATCTATTTCAAATCTCTCACTTTCCTCAAGCTGAGACCATCTCCACTGGCTCAACTGATGTGCTGGACCAGTATATTTTACATGAAAGGATCATATGTGATCAATTGTGACTGGCTTTACCCACCAACCATAATGTTCTTAAGTTTACAACCCATGTTGTAATATGAATGCTTTTTATTGCCAATACATGTTACATTGTATGGATATTTATGAATCTTTTTCCAATTCATCAGTTAATGAAAATTTGAGTTGTTTTCTTCTTTTATTATTTATGAATACTACTACTAAGAACATTGGTTTACAAGGTTTGGTGAGGATAGGTATTTTCATTTCTCAAGAATGCATACTAGAGGTGCAAATGCTAGGTCATATAATAACTCTATATGTAACATTTTGAGGAGGTGCCACACTATTTTCCAAAAAGGCTCCCACCAGCAATGTATGGGAATTCTACTTCCTCCACAGTCTCAGTGAGAATTACTGAAAGTTTTTATCATCTTATTTTTTGTTGTGTGTATGTGTGTGTGTTTGTTTTCTTAATCCTCACCTGAGGATATATTTTTATTTAATTTTAGAGAGAAAGGAATGAAGAGAGAGAAACAATGACATGAGAGAAAAATATCACTCAGTTGCCTCCTGAATGCACCCTATCCAGGGATTTAACCCACAATCTAGGTATGTGTTCTGATCAGGAATCAAATCCACAACCTTTTTGATGTGTGGGAAGATGATCCAACCAATTGAGTCCCTGAGCCAGGGCTCTTAGTATTTTTAGTTAGCATTTCCCTAAAGGTTAATGAAGTTGAGCATCTTTTCATCGAATCTTTTAGTTTTAGTTGCATTTGGGGAAGAAAAAAGATAAGGGTATCTGATCTACTGTGTTTAAGTTATTTTAATATCTGACTGGAAAATTTTTTTCTAAATATTTGAAAACACATATAGAGATACCATTTCTATAGTTTTGTGCTTTTCTATAGTTAGCATGTTAGTGTCGTCACTGCGTGATAGGAGCAGTGATATTGTGCACGGGATTTGCTTTGTAATATTACTTCTTGCATGGAGTTGAGAGAACTCACTCAAATGACTCCTCAAGGTTGATTAAAAAGCAAAGCAGAACTGATTCCCAAAGCATTTCAAACTCAATGTTTTTTCCTCACCAATGCTGTTTACATCTGTGGTGCATAAGTGTGTTCCACATGTGATAAATATCAATTAAATATAAAAGCTTTGACATGGGCACATAAGTCTGGGAGAAGGATGGTTAAATGTTCTGATGGACTTTTTCACTGTACTGTATTGTAAAAATGTCATTTATTACACATAACAAATGGTAATTTTTGAGGGTACATGGGAAGATATATTGTTGTATCTGCTGTTGTGTATTTTTAATTATATATTTGTTAAGCTTGAAAAAATTAAAGATGTTAGCTGCCTTATATGGAGAGGGAGGAGCAAGACCTGGCAGGGATGCTATAGTCTATGAAGACAGGAATTTTAGCTCTCTCTCAAAGTGATTTCAGAAAGTGTCATTCCTTTGAAGTTGGGAAGGAAGCCTCTTTCCATGTAATAGGACGGAAAAATGAAAGGAGGAATGTGAAAAGTGATATTTTTAAAGTGTTTTATTGAAAAGTTCCCATCTCATGTCTTCTCACTCCTCTCAGAATATTGGTCCAGCACATCAGTTGAGCCAGTGGAGATGGTCTCAGCTTGAGGAAAGTGAGAGATTTGAAATAGATTTGAGTAGCTTTGGAGAGAGAACAGACTAAGTAAACAGGGACTTAAGCTCCATTTGTTTTGTTCACATGTTAGTAAACAAGAGATAATTGTTTGTGAAATGAATTAATGATTTCCAGGTAATTCTAGGGGCACCAGTAGAATCAATTGTGTGATTTAATCCAAAAATGATCAGTTACTTATAGGAAGACATGAGATGGGAACTTTTGGAAGGATAAGTTGGAAGGATAAAAGATCAGAATGTAGTATTCCAGATGGCAGAGGTTTTCCTGGGAATGTGCTCTGTAGTGTAGAAGTAACTATAATACTTCAGAGTTGAAGAAAAAGATCCTAAGATATAGGGGCTGGGGCCTGGGTTATTGACTATATGATCCTCTTGAATATTAAAGCCTTTACCACAGGCTCACCCCTTCAGGTTCAATGCTTTAGGCTCCATTTTACCTTTTCATTCCTCCCAGGACTTTCACAAAATCTGCATTATTTTTTTACCTCAAGATTCAGACATTGTAGGGTTGATGGCATAACTGTAGACAAAATATACAAGTGTGGTAGAGAGAGAGATTGTGGTGGACATCTATTTTGTTTTTTGTTGTTGTTGCTGTCTGTCTTTGACACTCAGGATTCACCATGCTTACTGGGAAAGCTACCTTAAGTGCTGTCTAGGGCAGTCATTCTATTTTTGTGTTTTAGTCTGAACAAGTGGGGTTGACTCTCCAGAGCCCTTATATAGGTGTGTATATGTGCAGATTTGGCCAAAGAGAACATTCCATGGAAGTCCAAGGTGAGCCCCAAACATCTATAACCCTGGTGCATAGTCTAGAACTCACCTCCAGTACATGAGCTGCAGGTGTTCTGAGATTTATTGTAACTTTCCCAAACCCCTGAATATCAAAGGTGACATCTCCATTCTGATAGGTGAAATGTACTTGTTAAGAGAAAATTCATATGCATATTCTCATCAAGCATGATAGAAGGAAGGCACAAATTTCACCATCTCCAAAGACAGGGATGCCATGCCTGATTATATCCCTGAAAATATTATTTTAGTGCTCAAGGAATAGCCCAGGTCTTTTTGGTGAGCCATTTAATAGGCTGTGCAATCTTCTGATCAACCATGACTGGTGGAGCTTAGATCAGTTTGGAAGCAAGACAGGATCACACAGTGGGGATGATGAGCATAATCTTTGTTCTACCAGCAGTGTCACTCTTTCCCTCCTTTATTGGATCTTACTTTCTCACTCAATCTAAGGTGTCTTTTCCTACTTTCAGCCTTATTTTACTCTGGGAGGAAGATGGCTACTTAGTTACCGGTCATCACAACTGAAGTTTTTGCTTATTAAAAAAAAAGTCAACCTGGAAAAAATATCCAGAGATGGAACAACTTTCCAGTGTCAAGATAAAAAAAGATCCTTCCCATAAACATCAGCATGACCCATGAGATAGATCTTGAAACAGATAGATCTGTTCCGAGACCCTTCCCCTACCAGCCCAAGATCTACTGCAGCCGTATTCCCCAAACGCTCCCATTCAGGGTTCACTAACTTGTTCTAAACAATGATTAAACCTCTGTCTCATCATTATTGATATTTTCTGAAAAATATACCTGCCTTCAATCTTCTTGAAATAAAGAAGGCCTGTATTCTGTAAAATCTGAAAAGAGTTTAAGTATTTCCTGATGGAAAAGGTGTGGGCTGCTCTGCATGTTCCTTAAGACTAACCTAAAAGGCAGGAGACAGAGCCCATCTCCGCAAACTTCATCAGGGATGAAGTGGGCTTTGGCAAGGGTAACATGATATCTATTTTTCCATAGAGCTCTAGGGGCTGTTCACTTTAGAAGCTAAAGGAAGGAAACAGGAAGAGCTGAACTAATGCTTTCCTTTCCTTGAGCAAAAATCCTGTGACACTCCTGCCCCCAACACAACACATGAAGACATTACTATTAGGGAAACATTTATTAGGGCAAATTAATATTCTTCACATGGCAGGAATTATATTGTTGTGGTAAAGTCTCTTCTCTTGAAAATATCCAGAATCATATTCTGTCTTACTCGTAGAGACGGATCTCTGAACACCGTGGATACGGCGGTGGTGAGAGCAGCCTGAGCCCACTGGGCAGTTGGAGGCCTAAAGGTCGGTCTTGGACGGGGCACACGCCCTTTGCAGGGCACAGATTGGAATTGCTTCTGATATATCTGGTTATTTACTGCCACAACTCTCCGGGGGTGTCTGTCCTTGTCCCTGAAGTCAGCTTGGGGGAAGGTATTGGTATTTGTCACTTTATGGGAGCCAGCACTGGAGTGAAAAGGATGTCCCTGGACAGGCCCTGCCTGGGACCACACTGGTACCTTCTGTGGAGCTTTTGCAAACTTCACTGCAGAGGGAGTGGGCTCCTGAGGGCAGGTTATATCTACTGGACTCGGACGCCCAAATTTCGCCTCTAGAAAACTCCCAATATCTGCTCTACTTTTAACTGGGCCTCGGTTCTGGGTAGATGATACGGTGTTGCCCTTTTCCTGAGAGTATTTTTGCTGTTTGTACATTTTCCAAAGATAAAGCTTTTGAAAAATACGGTTCATTTGTTTTCTTAACAGGCTTTCTGGAGGAGGTTGTGCCTTCTGTGATGGGGTCTGGGGAGACTTGGTCCCAAGCTTCTCCTTTAATGGCAGGTCCTGAGTAGGAAATCTCTTCCTTCCTGGTTGGGATGTTCTCAACCCTGCATTCCCTCTAGCAAGATCCTCTGGTTTGAACCCTGTGGGCCTCTCTTTCTTTGTAGCAGTTGGGAAATTCTTATCCTGGCATAATCTTAAGATATTCTTGGGGATGTGAGCTTCCTGTGGCTGCTTTATACTGGCTCCTGTGTTTCCCAAATGGACATGCAGCTCCCGGTGAGCTGCCTTGTCCACACTGGAGACACCCTGATCATGAGTCAGGGAGGCTGTGTAAGTTAATCTGTCTGAGGCATGAGACACATGAGTATACTGGCCTTGGGCCTGACTCTGCTTCCTCTTCTCTATCTTTGACTTTAACTCAGAAATTAGTTGGTTCTGAAGGTCTGCTGAGTTACGATCTTGCAGAACTGATGTTTCTGCTGGAAGGTTTTCAGTTTTCACAATCATTACTCCTTTATTCTCACTCACAGTTAGCCTTTGGGAGATTTCCAGCTTGCTGGTGGTTAAAATGTCACTCATTTTGGATTGAAGAGCATTGAGCTCCTCAGCCCTGGGCACATTGGGCATGGAGACAATTTCTGATTTCATTTCCTCTTCAACCTTTCTGGAATTTGCACTCTGATCTTTTAGCACATGTTCAGCCTGGGATTGTCTTATGAGCAGCTTTAAGGGGAGAACTTTGGCTCTTGGAGAATGTTCCTGACTTGCTTTGCCAATGATGGTGTTTTCCACAGGCACAGGAGTAGGTCCAGCATCCAGAATTCTCACCCCATGGGAGATTTCAGAGGGCACTTGTCTCAGGATCCCCTGTCCTTCATTGCCCACAAGTGAGGTAGCAGAGCTACCTTGAAGGGGCCTGAAGCCCCCTGATATGGAGACCACATCATCTATCAAGTTGGTTGAGGAGGATTTGGAATCATACTGGGAATAGGAGGAAGCATCTTTCAATCTAAATATTTCAATGGATTCAAGGACTTTAGGGGGAAGGCCACTTACCATCCTCAAATAAAACTTGGTAATGTGGGCTTCCAAAATCTCCTGGGAACCAGCCTTAAGGAAGTAAAGCTTCTGGCACGTGTTCAGTCTATATTCCCTACCTACTGCTGGTGCCAAACTTATCTGTTTTATTTCTACAAGTGAATTCACAGAAAGTGCCTCTTGGATAGCATGCCATGGACTAAGCATACTTGCAGGGAGCTGACGTTCACTGATTTCCTTTGACTTCCTCCTCAAATGTATTTTCCGGGCATTTTCTTGTTTTCTCTGCATCACATTCTGGCCTGGCATCATGGTATTTGCTCCTGTCAGACTCATTGTGTAGGAGTTTAAGTCTTTGTCAGAGTCATACCCCACATCCTGAACTTGATAGAAATCACGTGTCAAGGTGGACTTCAACGGATCTCTGGCACGAGCTTTCTGAGAAGGGAAGTGTGAAATTGACAGGCTTGGATGGTCAGAGCCTTGAGGGGCATAAGTGGCCAATGCTCCAGTGCTGTCTAGAGATGAGTTCTCCAGAACAGGCTTGGATGAGATGTGAATAGGTTTAGGTCGAGTCACAGTTAAACTGTAGTGTGGTTGTGAAACAGACAAGGTGGGTTGGGCATGATGAAAAGTAACAGATTCTGTGGAATTACCTTGAAAGGGGTTGGTATCTTGGATAATGGAGGAGTCAATGAAGATGGTATTCAGGATCAGAGAGGCTTCTGATTGAACAGTAGCATCCATAGTCTTAGTACTGTGTGTGGTAAGAGAATGATGCACTGGAAAGTCAGATGTCAAGAGAGATAAATTGTCTGCTGGCAGAGAGCGAAGCTGTGATGATGGTAATGGAAAGTGACTTAAGGGTGTCACTGGGTTAGGAAAGATATTGGAAGGCAGTGGTGGTGGAAAAGGCTCAGGCAGGTCAGGTGATATTAGGTCTCTTGGAGGGACTGCTGAGAAGGCAGGGGACTGAGTGAATGATGGCTCAGTCACAGGAGCTGCAGAAGCCGAAGGGGACACAGAGAGAGTAGCATCTTCCAGGGCCAATGAGGACAGAAACTGATCCATCTCAGTAGTTGCATCATTACATACCTCACAGGAAGGATCTGGACATAAAAGTTGACGAAAGCGGGTAGAATCATGACGCTGGCCCAAGGGGCTGCAGGAGACAAGAGATACAAAGCTGCAGCCAAGACCAACAGAACAAGGAAAAGAGGACCTATTGATCTGGTGTGGTTTGGGTCACCTTAATTCTGCTTTCTTTTCACATTGCCCTACATTCATGACTTCACAATGCTCTCAATAACACACCCCAAAGTCTCCTTCATGTACTAATTTCTATGGCAACCCCAATTCATGACTATAGAAAGCTGCGACTCAGCTTTTCTGAAATTGCATAGAACATGCTAAGGGATCAGGAAAGGGAGATAAAAGTTTCTCACCTTTTAAGGAAAGAAATAAGCAACTTTTTATCCTCTTCTTCCCTCTGGGAGTATCTTCTACCTGGGAAGCCAGAAGAGTGTGTTATATGTGATGAAGGTGTAGAATCCCAATAATTAAAGAGAGTGCCTTTATGGGAAACCATTCGTATATTAGACATTGAAAGCCCCATGAGTTAATATATGAAGACAAATGGTCAATGATTATATTAAAAATACTCCCATGTGTGTTGTTACTTTTATAAAGTGTTTACACATCCTATATATTGAAAGGATAATATACAAATTGACCGAACAGTGCAATGACCGACCAGTTACTATGACATGCACTGACCACCAAGGGGCTGACATTCAACATAGGAGCTTCCCCCCTGAGGTCAATGTGCTCCCACAGAGGGAGCACTGCTCATGGTGATGAATGCATTGGTGGTGACAGGAGCCTCTTCTCCATCCACAGCTGTGCTAAGAATGTCTGACTTCCCGAGGGCTTCTGGTCTGCCAGCGGGTGCATGGTGGGCTGAGGGACCCCCCCTGAGTGCACAAATTTCATGCACTTTAGTACATTATATTATTTATGCTCAAAACCACTCTGCAAAACAGAGAAGTCAGTGTTATGTCAAAGAGGAATCTGATAATTCTGAAGTTAAAATACTTTCACAGAGTCAGGAGTCAGAAGTTCTACTCTGGACACCTTCTGGGTAGTACCCATTGCCCAGGTCCATCAATACTTCATACCCATGAACAACAAAGCAGGGAATCTGAGAAGTGCCTCAGGTTCTGACAGAAAAGCCTTTCCTCTGAGGCCTCTATACTAAGAGGAACTGTGTTGAGCAACTGACCTCATAGAGATCACAAAACCGGTTCCTCATGGATAGGAGAAAAAGGGTCAGCCTTAGGGAGCTCACATGAAGGGGGCAGAACCTTACCTTTCTGTGTCCCACCTTTCCTCCTTCTCTTGGATCTTCTGCCCTGATACTGATGCTGAGAATGAAGGTAAAGAATAGGAGGTTAGTGCTCATTTCTGTCACTCCTCCCCCTAGAAACTCAGGCATTAATTATCGTGAATAATATAACTAATTAATTGAACTATGTTTGCCTTCTTTTTGTCAAATTTTAAATATTTAAAATGCTTTCAGGTTTTTTTCTTTAAAAACTCAATGTTTGTGTCCATGAGGTTCATGGTTGGTCCTCAGTCATTAGTCCTATGCTTAAGGAGGGCATAAAATCTCTGCTCCTTTAGGTAGGACCCTAGGACAGAACTCCGGCACCTGCTTATGCTGTCTCCCTGGTGCTCAGCACTTCTTTCCAGATAAAGCCAAACAGAGAGGAAAGCTTGGTTCAATTATGCCTGATATGGGAATATGATCGTGATGAAGTGCAATGGAACTCTGATCTCTTCGCAGAGATCCCAAACTCAAAATAACACAATCCAAGGCCATGAAGGTACTGATTGGGGTTCTATTCAGGAATTCTCCACCATACACAGATGGTCTGTGAGCTTCAGATGGTAACCTGAGTCCTCCTTGTCCCCCTAGTCTTGCTTGTTCTCTTCCCCTACAAGACTGATATTCTGTTCCTTCCTCAGATATCCCACTTTAAATGTCAGACACGACTTAACTCATTTATAAATGTGGAACTAGAAATGGAAATTAAAAAAAAATCTTTTGGGGGGCTTGTTCAGGGTTCCTTACCTTTTGTGTATGTTCATTTTTCCAGAAGATTTTGGTTAATAGAATTTTCACCGGGGAAGGGAAGAAGAGGAGGAGCAACCCCAACACACAGAGGTAAGTTAGGGTGCGGTAACAATTTAAAGATTCTGAGCAGAAGCTCAGATAAAGCTCTGAGAGGCTATTCAGAAATAGGCTGAAAATCATTTTCTGAATGGCAATGCTGCCTGAGGCAACTGAGCTCTGAGGGTGCAGGCTCTTGATTTTATAGCCAGGCCTGCATCACAGAGCACTGAGGAGTCACAAAGGGTTTTTGAGGGTGTTAAAGGGACACCTTCAAGAGGGTATGTACACAGATCCTCCCAAATCCAACATCCCAGAAGATCATCCATCTATATTATATCTCTAGGTCCCTCTGCCTTACTCTGCTACACTTATTTTTTTAATCTGCCTTTTAATATAGCATCGATGTGCCTTAATATTCTGCTTATTCTATTTGTAATCTATATATTACTTGGATCCCCCTTTATGTTTGGACATGTTGATGTTGGCCTCACTATGTCCTTTACTAGAGTAATGTGCTGCTATTTAAGGAGACACATTTGAGATAAGTCATTAGTTTAGGATTCTCATAGGTTCTCATTTTCTATGGACAGTCCTCAGTGCTCTCTTACTCCCATCCTGACCACTGTCTTTAAGATGAGCCACAGAGTAGAGACATTTCAATAAACCAAAAAGGTTGTGCCAGGACTAAGCAGGAGCCCCTGAACAGCAGATGAACAGATTATTGTGACACAATTTCACTGTGGGGGTGAGGGCTAAGGGGCTTGCCCAACTGAAGAAGCCAGGCAGCTTTGATTGCCTGCCCCATTAAGCCTTTATTGGAATTTTTATCTTTAGATAAAGTCAGTAGGGTAAGTAATCTTGGAAGGACACATGTGTTTATATCTCCCTATAGGCAAGGGCACCCAGGGATTAAGTTTAAGGATTCTACTAAATACCTGGGGGGTCTGTATATGACAGGCTTGTTAGGAAAGGTCAAGGAATAATTAGAGGTGCCACCTTTGACAAACCCCTAAGTCTTCCCTAAGTTGGAATTCCCATAAACAGGGCAGGTGGCCTTCCACACACTTCCCTTTTCTCATAATGTCCTCCTTACAACTTTCCAACCAAGTCTCTTGTGCTTCCCAACATGGCAGAAGAACATATTCGGGAGAAAGTACTTTAAAACTGCATTTAGGAGAAACCAAGATGACAGCATAGGTAAACACCTAAGCTGCTGCTTCACACACCAATATCAAAACTACAACTAAAAGACAAAACGGACACCATCCAATACTACAGGAAAGCTGGCTGAGTGGAAATCCTACAATAGAAGGAAAAAGAAAAGCACATTGAGACTCAGAAGAGCTGCAAAAGACTGAGGTATGGAGACGTGGAGAGGATGGGTGGCTGAGGGCACGGGTGGCTGAGGGCACGTGTGGCTGAATGACTGGCTTGCTTTCTAAAGTGGGAGGGAGAGGGAAGCTCCCAATTGCGCTGAATTCTAGTCCCAGTAGAGTCTCTGGGAATCCAGACTCATTCGAGGGGAATCTGGAATGTCAGGAAAAGAGAGACCACACTGAGACTCAGGAGAGCTGTGGAAGGCAGAAGTCCAGAGACGTGTGCTCAAAGAGAGGACCAGTGGCTGAGGGCACACACAGCTGAGTGCATGGCTGGCTTTCTAAAGCAGGAGGGAGACAAAGGCTCCCGACTTTGCTGAACTCCAGTTTGGGGCTAGTTTCCGGGAGGCCAGACTCATTCAGGGAAAATCTAGACTGTCTGGCAGTTGGGGAAACTCGAGGTTGGCTTTCTCTCAGATGTGCTTACAGCAATTACTGAGGGACACTGAGACCCAGAGACCTCATAGGGCAGGGTTGACAGGAAGCCAAGGCTGTCTGCTCTGCCTTGAGACTCCACCCCATCCAAGCTGAGCAGAGAGGCTTTTGGAATTTTGCAACACTTGTCTCAAAAGGGTTTCTCCAGGACAGAAGTTCTCCCAGCATAGACACAGCTGATCCTCACAGCTATTTGGCTTGGAGGTCAATTCCTCCCAGTGATACCAACAACAATCAAGACTTAACTAGAGCAAGGCTGTGCACACAGTCCACAAAGGGGTGCACCAAAAGTGTCCACCTCAGGTAACTGAGGAGGCAGAGCCACTGGGCCCTATAAGACATATACCACACAAAGCTACTCTACCAACTCTGGAAGCAGCAAAAATGTGGAAACAAAGAAACAGGTCACAAATGAAAGAAATGGAGGAAAGCAAACAACTGGATATATAGTTCAAAACCACAGTTTTAAGGTTTTTCAAGAATTTCCTAGAAAAGGCTGATAAATTTAGCGAGACCCTCGAGGATATGAAAAAGGACCAAATAGAAAATAAACATGCACTGACTGAAATAAAAAACATTATACAGAGACTTAACAGCAGATTAGAGGACTACAAGAAACAAGTCAAAGATTTGAAATAAAAAGAAGCAAAAAATACCCAATCGGAAAAGCAAAAATAATCCAAAAATTTGAAGATAGTGTAAGGAGCCTCTGGGACAACCTCTAGCATACCAACATCAGAATTATGGAGGTGCCAGGAGAAGAGAGAACAAGATACTGAAAACCTATTTGAAGAAATAATGACTGAAAACTTCCCCCACCTGGTGAAAGAAATAGACTTACAAGTCCAGGAAGCACACAAAACCCCAAACAAAAGGAATCCAAAGAGGACCATACCAAGACACATCATAATTAAAATTACAAAAGCAAAAGACAAAGAGAGAATATTAAAAGCAGTAAGAGAAAAACAGTTAATTACCTACAAGGGAGCACCCATATGATTGTCAGCTGATTTCTCAACAGAAATTACGTAGGCCAGATGGAGTGGCAAGAAGTATTCAAAGTGATGAATAGCAAGAACCTACAACCAAGATTATTCTACCCAGCAAAGCTATCATTCAGAATGAAAGTCAAATAAAGAGCTTCACAGAAAAGAAAAGGCTAAAGGAGTTCATAGACACCAAACCAGTTTTATATGAAATGCTGAAAGGTGTTCTTTAAGAAGAGGAAGAAGAAAAAGGTAAAGATAAAAATTATGAACAACAAATACATATATCTATCAACAAGTGCATCTAAAAATCAAGTGAATAAAAAATCTGATGAACAGAATAAACTGGTGAATATAATAGTCATGGGCATAGAAAGGGAGTGGACTGACAATTCTTGAGAGGAAAGAGGTGTTGGGGGTGCGGAAAGAGACTGGACAAAAATTGTACACATATGGATGAGGACAGTGGGGAGGAGTTAAGGAAAGAGGGTGGGATGGGAACCAGGTGGAGGAGAACTATGGGGAGAAAAAGAGGAACAATCTGAAAATAAAGATTTATTAAATTTAAAAAACTGCATTTAAAATAACCAAGATATCCACCATTCACACAACAAACTTTTATTGAATTCTACTATGTAGTATTTCTAGAAGAAATATTAACATTATAAGGTCTTGTCTCTGCCCTCAGTCAGGTCTTAGTGCAATAAGAGAGACCTTCCTACAACTTTAATGAAGTGATATAAATTAGAAAAAAAAATAAGAATAAAACACAAAACAGAGATGAAGAAGTAATTAAATTTTGTGCAAGGATGGAGATGAGAGAGGAATGGAGGAAAACCATAGAGTTGGTACCAACACAGGTGGGCACTTCCTCATCCTCCTCATCATTGTCCTCTTCTTCCTATCTTAGACTCTTAGAGCAATTATTGGTTCACAGTAGACATAGCAGAAAGTGAAAAGTTGTTCACATGTTTGTAAGTATGGAATAATTGTTTTTGGAATGAATAAATGATTTCCAATTAGTTCTGGGGCACCAGTAGAAATGACTGTAAGATTTAATCCAATAGTGATCAATGACTTATAGGAAGACATTTCTGGAAAAACACAGAGCTTAAATTTTTTATATAGAGGTTTCAAAAAGGGACTGGATGGGCCACTTTTGTTGTTGCTATTTTTCCTTGACACTCAGGATTTACAAGGCTTACTGGGGGGAAAAACTACCTCAAGTGCTGTATAGGACAGTCATTACATTTTTGTGTTTCATTCTGAACAAGTGGGGTTGGCTCCCCTATGGACCTTTATAGGACAGGTAGATATGTGCTCAGGTTTGGCCAGAGAGAGCATTTCATGGAGGTCCAGGATGAGACCTAGAACATCTGTGGTGCATAGTCTAGAACTCATCTCTGTTTCATGAGCTGCAGGTGTTCTGTGGGAGATTTATTATAACGCCCCTAAAACCATGACATCTCCATCCTATAGGTAAAATGTCTACACTAAAGCCAAGATCTTGCTCATTTACATCAAGCATGGATGGAGGGAAGCACCAAGATCCCCAAAGACTGGGATGCCATGTTTAATCACATCCCTGCAAATATTATTTTAGTGCTCAAGGAATAGCCCATGCCTTTTCGGTGTGAGGCATCATTCGGCTGTGCAGTATTCTGATCAGCCAAGGCAGGTCAGGCTTAGGTCAGCTCAAGGAAAATTGGAGCGAGACAGGATCACACTGTGTGGATGATGGGAAATAACCTCTGTCCTACCAGCAAGGTCACTCTTTCTCCCCTTCAGTCATTCTTATCTTATTGCTTAGTCTAGGTATTTTTAGATTCTCCCCCCCCCCCCCCCGGGGAGGTAGATATCTGCCTGGTTAACATTCATCCCAGTGGCAGTTGAGTAATGTTTTGCTCAGAAGAAAAAAAAATTTAAAAAAATCATAAATCCTACAGCCTATAGAAATACCCTGAGTTAGGAACCACTTCCCAAGATGACTTTAAAATGGGGAATACTTTGGGGACAAGTTTAAAATATGCTTCCCCAAATATTAACATGACCCAAGAGACAGATCTTTAATCAGATCTGTGCTGTTCCTAGACCCTTCCCCAGTCAGGCCAGGACCTACTGCAGCCATATTCCACAAACACTCCCATTCAGGGTTCACCCACCTGTGGGATCCTCTGTTCACTGACTTCTAAATAATGATTAACCCACTGTGTCTTCTTCACTGATAGTTTCTGAAAAATATACTTATCCTGATCTTCAGATACAGATGCCTGTCTTGTTTACTGTTAAGAGGATATAAAGTTTTCCCTGAGAGGGAAGGTGTGGGATGCTCTGCATGCTCATT